TATAACCAAGCTCAAAACAGTTTAAAAATAGGCCTAAAATACTATGCAAGAAAGAGGCATACAAGAGAGGTAAAGAAGCAAGTGTAAAAAGGAAGCCTCAAACAGGGAGAGGCCCTCAAACAAACATGAAAAGAAGCTCAAAATAATGCTATTTTCAGTTAGGGTTGGAGCCCAAATATGAAAGCAAGTATGGCTAATATATTGAGCAAACTAAGGCAAGAAAGAGGGAGGAGAAGACTTACCCTTGAAGACCAAACCTTTGACAACTCTTGGACCAAGTTTGGTGGCTCCTTAGCTCTGGAAAACAGCTCCAAGTGGCTGGAATGGATGGTGGTGGTATGGTGCTAGGTGGTGGTGTAGAAATGGTGTAGGGTTTTGGGAGGTTTTGAGGGTTGGAGTGTAGAGAGAGAGAGATACAAGGTAGGAGCTCTAAACCAAAAATTTCTAACCCTTAAAACACAGCTGGGGGGCCTGGATATATAGGCAAAAGAGGGGGGAAAAAAGGGGGGGAATGGATTTCAAATTTCCCCCAAAAAGTGCAGCCCCCCGGATACACAATCTGGGGGGAAACCGAATATATATTTGTAATGTACCAGAGGTGGGGATCATGGCCGGCCGGGTATTGAAGTTGCAGGTGGCCGGCCGGCCCTCCCCATGGCCGGCCGGCCAAGGGTCAAAAGGCTCAAGAAGTAATTGTGGCCGGCCACCCCAGATTGGTGGCCTCCCATGTGTGCACAACACAACCATGTGGTCAAAAACTGGAGAAGCCAAGGGTCAAAAGGGTCAATCAAGGTTAATGGCTGGCCATGCCAAAAAGAGGGCCTCTCATGTGTGCACAACACAATCATGTGGTCAAAAAACTGGAGAGAATGAACCAGGAGAGAGAAAAGGCCACTTTTATGAGGGGTTCAAAAGGTTCACACACAATTACTGGCCGGCCATATGATATTGGTGGCCTCCCTGGTGTGTACAACACAAATATGTGGTTTAGGGCTGGAAAAAGTGGCCTTAGGGTGGTCAACATTGGCTTTCAAGTGAGAAAAAACGGGCGACAGAGGGCGACAGAGGAATAAAACTGGTTGTCAGAAAAATTGCTGGCCTTCCACCCTTCTACGACCTTCTTAACAATGAAACAGAGGTCCCTGCCAAAAATGAACCCAAACCGATGCAAAATGAAGGTTCGGGGGCCGAAACGCGCAGCCCGAGGCCCTGAAAACTGACTGTTAGGCACCGGAAGTGGTGTTCAACCACGAAGTTGGTCTCTCGAGCCATAGTGTCCCTCAAAAGGGAGCAAATAAGGTGCATGCCAAAAACCGGAGCAAACGGAGGTGGTTAAGCGGTCCCGAACCGAGGCACACGACCAACGGCTCCGAAAAATCGAAAATCGGACTCCAAACGGGCAAAATGGCCTACGACCACGAAACGTAGCCTGCGGCCACTGAGAGATGATCTATGAGACCTCTCTCTCTCTTCGGGAAGAGAAAACAGAGAAAAGGGAGCCTGGTTCGCAAACCGAGGCAAGACACGAAAGAGCCCGGAAGTCTAGAGGCAAGGCTCGCAGCCGAGACTCTGAAATTTCTGAATGAGCACAATATGCACCATCACCGAGTGCTCAATCGGTGATGTCTGAGTCTTAAGGTCGGTCAAAAATGGGGTGTCTACAGATGCATGAAAATATGGGCTCCTTTGTAAGGCCAAAAATGCCAACAAACAAGACAACTAGGAGAGGTGATGACCCTCTCCTTCTTAAGACCTCAAAGCACCATCCCCACCACTGAAATCTCTTTACATTTTAGTGGTGAGAAGGCTAATACAAGGTGGTCCCGAAACTCACAAAAAAGGCATAAAAAAGAGGCCAAACAAGGCCTAAGAGGGGGTAAAAAACCCCAAACACAAAAGTGACCTTAAACAAAGATCAAAAGCACGCTAAATCAGAACTTTTATCAGTTATACACTAAGCTCAAAAAAGCATGCAAGACATGCTAAAAGCTTGTGCAAAAATGGGGAAAGAAAGAGAAAAAAAGAGTGTTACCCTTGTAGCCAAGAACTCCAGCAGCTCTGGACCCAAAAACCAACCCCTTTGCCTCTGAAAATGGCCTCCAAGATGCTTAGACCGAAGGTGGAAAGGTTAGGCTAAGAGTTGTAGTGCAATGGGGCCAAGAACCTTACATTTTTGAGCTAAAATGGAGGAGATATAGAGAGATATGTATATGTATGGAGCCTTGGCCAAAAATATGAACCTTTGCTAATGAGGGAGAGGGTTTCTCTTATAGAAGAACAAAGGTCCAAGCTTCTCTTAGAAGCTTGAGTAAAAGGGCCAAGCTTCTCTTAGAAGCTAAAGTAAAAAGGGTAAAGCTTCTTGAGGAAGCTAGAGCAAAGGGGTTAAGCTTCTAAGAGAAGCTTGGAGCAAAGGGTCAAGCTTCTTGTAGAAGCTAAAAAATGGGTCAAGCTTCTTGGAGAAGCTAAAAAGGGTCAAGCTTCTTGGAGAAGCTAAAAAGGGTTCAAAAGGTTCAAGCTTCCTCAAGAAGCTAAAAAAAGGTTCAAAAGGTCAAGCTTTCCCAAGAAGCTAAAATAAGGGTTCAAAAGGTCCAAACTTCCTCAAGAAGCTAAAACAAAGGTTCAAAAGGGTCAAGTCTCCCCAAGAAAAGGTCTCGGCCAGAAAAAGTGGCCGATTGATCAAAACAATGGACGGCCGACCAAAAACAATGCCGACCGGCCAACACCTTTGGCCGGTAGCAAGAAAACAGGGCCAGTGGCCTCAGGCCATGGCCGATGAGGTGTGGGGATGGCCAACAAGCCATTCCCTGCCCTTAGAAGCAATCACACAAGTGTTTGGTCTACAACCAAGCACAAAATAAACAAGTCGAGAGGTCTCGAGGCAAGGCGCGCGACTGAAACCTCCGAGAACTCAAGATGAACACGAACATGGATAATCATCGAGTGTTCAAGCGATGACGTCCAAGTCTTGAGGACGGTCAAAATTGGGATGTCTACACTGGAGAGAGAGAGCAATGGTGTTTTCGAAATATGTAGGTGTGAAACAAAGGGCCAAAATCATGTTTTAAAGAGCCACAAGGGTGAAATCCCGAATCTGCCCTCGATGTTGGCACATTTGGCTAGTCGGCCAAAATGTTGTATGGCCGGACCATCTTTTGGCCGGCTAACTGTTCTAGTGGATTGTGATGATTTTTATAGAAATTTTGCCTAGTTTTGAGCATTGGTGGTCTTGTATTCATCTGAAAAGTGGAAGAATTGAAGAATTTGTGTTTGCCTTAGTTACAGAAAATTCTAAAATCCCGTTCTGGATGTACTGTTCCAAGTCTCACCATTTCTCCGAAGTGTGAGTGTGCCTCGACCTTGAGCTAAAGCAGATTTTACTATACGAGAACCTTTGGCTGTAAGTTAAAGACAAAAGTTTGAAAAACAAAAAAAAAGAAGAGAAGTATCCCTGGCAGAACAGGGTTGTTCACTGCTACTTCCCCTTATAAGGTGCTTTTAAAACCACCACTTTTTGTTTATCTTTTCTATTATGTTGCATGTTATGTCACATGGAGCATGCATCACATTGTATTTCGTATCAACTACAAAAATTATCTTGCATCCATGTGCATCGCGCCTTTTCATCTTATTATGTCAACCCCTATCACCTGACAGTGTGATTTGGCTTGTTGTATGCGTTTAGCTTGATCATCCTTTCTATGCCAGGCATAGGTTGGCTTTTACTCCTTTTCACCCACTCTACGCGAAGTGTAGTTTGGTTGTACTTTTCACCCTTTTTGCGCGAAACGTAGTTTCGCTTGTATCTTTCACCTTTTCTGTGTGATGCGTAGTTTGGCTAGCATCTTTCACCCTTTCTACGTGAAACGTAGTTTGGCCTGCATCTTTTATCCTTTCTATGCAAAGTGTAGTTTGGCTTGTACCCTTTACCCTTTCTACGTGAGGCATAGTTTAATATCCTTTGTTGAACTTATTTTTTGGAAAATTGCATTAAACTCCGCTCAAGTTTGGTAAAAATACAATTAATCTCATACTTTTAACATAATTACATTGACATCTCTTGAAATTTTAATTCACATATTAGTTAGGTCATTTTTTATCAATAATTTATTAATTATATGAATAAAAAAATGATATTATTATCTAAACAAACGTCTAAAAATTAAATGAAAAAGATATATCAAAATGAATGTTGTCATGGACCTACTAAACCGAAAATTGAACTAATCCACTAATTTTCTAGATGGAGAAAAGCAATTTCTTAGCTAGAAATTAGAATGCTGATAGAACCCTCATTTAGTGGTCATCCGCATATCTTGCACATGCACATAAAAAATTACAGTGGGCTTTAATGGTGGATTCCATAGTAGGTAAGGTTTGACTTGTATTGTAAAGCTGTGTTGTCTGAATTGTCGTGGACACTACTGAAAAAGAATGACGCCTAATATTTTATTTATGTTATAATGCCATCTATGTAACCTTAAACATATTCATAATACTATAAACTAGCTATGTAACCTTAATATTTTATTTTATTATAATATTTTATTTTATTTATGTTATAATGCCATCTATTTATGTTATAATGCCATCTATTTATTTATGTTATAATGCCATCTATGTAACCTTAAACATATTCATAATACTATAAACTAGCTAAAAACTTTTAGCTGCAGCAAATCAAGTAGAAATTCTGATTTATGTTATAATGCCATCTAACCACATGATTTTTTGCATTTTTCCATAGCAACCTTCCAATATTTAAAACAAATATACATATAAGAATAGAAGAAAGAGAGAAGAAATACATATAGGGGGCCTCTCATCATTTATATTGCTAATATATTTAAATCATTAGTTTAGTTTTTCCAAGAGAAAGAAGTACAGTATGATGATTTCATGCTATAATTGAGAATACATATTCACACACACACCCCATTGGGAATTGATTACACAGCTTCTCATCAATTCAGATAAAAGTCAAGCACATGGGAAATAGAAGAACCATGAGATACAAAGACAATATGCTCATGAGTCAAATTAAATCAGAACATGTATACAGGCAAGAAATTAAATCAAAGGAGTCACAGACCATCTTATCAGAATTGACATCTCTTGTCGAAGTAACCAAACTTTCCAGCAAATTCATATCCATTGCCTTTGTGTTCATAGGGAAATCTATATCAAATGAAGGAAACTTGGCCAACCCACAGTTGATCCTGACAGAAACAGCATCAGATGCAAAGCCTCTAGGAAATCTCATAAATGAATAAATTGTCTCCTGCCAGGTAGTTTTCAAATTTAGCAATTAAAACAACAATAACAAAAACAACCACTACCACCAAGAATGACGTGTAGTACCAGAACTATGTCCATATCATCCTGTCCAACTGTATCCAGAATTTTTTTCTGAATGGCACTTGATAGAACCAACGATAAACCTAGTTTCATTTCATATATTGCAACTTGAACTGGTTGAATTATATCGACGTATGCAGAATATTCATTTGATAGCCGATCAATGAAACGGGTTGCTGTTTCCTGATAGATCAAAAGATAAAATGGATGTCATGAATCATATTTGTAAAATTTTATAGCTTATTAACTGAACAGCATAATAATTTGAAAGGATACAATTGCATTAAGGAAAAAGTAAAAGGCCCATGTAATAACCAATTCATCTAAAAGTACAATCAAATAGTTAAAAATGAGAATTCAGTCAAAAACAGCTAATTTATACCTGCCAATTGCACACTTGGTCACTAATCTGTTGTTTGTCCATGCTATCAACATCTTTGATCAGACCAACAGAAGTTACAACCATTTTAAGAAACTCTTCACATTCATATTTTAACTTTACAAATTTCCTAGGATCAGAGCGGAACACAATCTGCGTGACGAAACAAAACTCATTAAGAGGGTGTGAAAAAAATAAAAAAAGAAGATAAGGATAAAGAAAAAAAAAAATTAAAGCTACAAGAGTTCTATATTAAAAAAATTTATAGCATTATCATGCAGCCAATTACTACAACACATTAGTTCACACTAAAAATCAAGGAAAATAGCTAGACTTTCCAGAATTGGATCCCCATATCAATTGGAGTGTAAATATCTAAACTTTATGGCCCCAATACCACTAATCTATAAGATATAATATATTTACAGAGAGACAGAGGTTGGGCTAGAAGTCACTGAACCTTTCGTTTAAGATTTTTACAATCAGCTTTGAGGTTTTCCAATGCCATTGTTCTTTGTTTGTCAGCCTCACCCCATGAAACCCATCCAGCTAAATAGGCACTCTCTTTCCGTACCTGCAAGAAATGACATGACAAGTGTTATTGCCATCTTCAAACATTGACTTATGACAGCAAGAGGAAATCATGTTTCATTTTAGCTGGAATGCATGCATGTGTAAGCTTCCAAATGCACATGCCACAAAGGAAGAAAGTTGGCATATGCAACAAGAAGCAAGCAGCAAGTGCCTCTGCCAATAATTTAATATAGGATGGCCTTGTGACATTTAGAAAAAGTGCCAATAATGCTGGACCTTACATACTTAAGTCCCCATATAATATAAAGTGCAAAAAAGTTAGTGGACAATCTGTTTAGTATAAAGGGTGATGTTATTGGGCTGCAGCTAAGAATAAACAATGCAATATTGGCATTATATTGGAATTTTTTCCCAAATGGAGGTTGTCCAGAGAGTAACAATCAGCTCAGTGTGTTTCAACCCTGTCTGTCTGTTTATTGCCCGCAAGAAAGCTCATCACTTTCAGCCCTTTTCACATCATAAATATTTCCACACTACAGCAGTCAACCATAACATACATAATTCCAAACATATCCAATAAAAGATAACAAGATGGAAAATGGCATACAGTGGAGTGGAGTGCCTCACCACCAACATACAAAAGTATGAAACCACAATCACTCTAAAAAAGTATGATACCACAATCAACCATAACATACCACAATCAACAATCAATCTATTAATCACCACCACCAGATAAAATCAATCTATTTTGTTTACAACACTTCACGTATATGATACCACAAATTTTACTCATTTTACTAAATCATAAACCCTGTAAAATAATAAAACTATAAAATTTAATAAATTTTATAGTTGTGCAATGATAAAATTACACATAAAACATAAGGAAAACGTTGCGCATTCAAGTGACAGTCATCCAAGAGTTCCAAAAAATAAAAATGTAACAATCATCCAACAAACATTGTACATGCAAAAAAAATAAGTTACAGTCATCCAAAAAGAAGCAAAAAAATCATTCATTTTTTTTTTTGTTCACAGACCCATTAATTTTCTGCTTATATTTCTAACCCAACCAAACAAAACAAATCAATTAATTTTCTGCTTATATTCCTAACCCAACCAAAAAAATAATTTTTTTTTGTTGTTCACAGACCTATTAATTCCTTTTCTTTTCACAAAGCCAAAATCCAAACGCATCTAAAGTTCCAAAACATAGCAAAAATGAGAAGGGAAAGGAGAAATCTATCCTAATATATACAGTAAAGGTTGCTGGTGTTGCTGGCACTTATACATAAATTATTAGAGCATATATATATATATATATAAAATATATATTAACTTCTGTTTAATGCAAATCAATCGATCGTCTAGAGAGAGAGAGAGAGAGAGAGAGACCTCAAAGCACTGGCTTAATGAAGGAATTCACCAAGGAAGCTAATCCAAGGTGGTTTGATGATGCAAGCATGGAAAGCACATCATTTATGTTGTCTACCTGTAAACAGAGTTAAAAAGAATCAAACAGTTGACCAACAAAAATTTTGACCAAATGAGAGTAAGAAAAAATGCTTTTACCAATCATTCAAACTAGAGACTAATAAACTCTATAAATATGTTATAATTTCATTACAAATACGTGCAATAGTGTCTTACAATACTTGTCTAGGATAGAAACGTAAATGCAGTAAACAAACATCCATAGGTATGCTGCAAAATCTTATTGTAGGCATTTCACATACTGTATAATTTTTACTGAATTCGAAAGACTTGAAAGTACTTGCATACCGTTATCATATTTTTCTGAAAGGAACCAAGAAGAGACTTAATCACAGCATACTTATCAGCTTCAAATGATTTTCTGTGAGCATATATAATCTGGAAGCAGAAGAACATCATGAGAATGAAATTCAATATTTCTGTTCACACCAATGAAGATATATCTGACTGAAGAAGGAAAGCTACCTGTTGGAAGAGAGACCGAGCCACAGATAAAAGAAAAGCTTGTACATTTGTAACAGGTGGACAACTTTGCCACAAATTACATGAAGCAACTCTAATTTTTAAGCAGTGCATGGGATAATCCTTGATAGCAGATGTACTTTGCCTGATTTTAAAGATGGAAGAGAAATGAGAACAAAAGAAGTTCGACACTGCAACACATTTTAAATCAACAGAAAATCCTTGCACAAAATTCAATAACAAGAAAATATATATGACTAGAGAAAACATTGTCTACTAGTTTCACTGTTTAATAAGTAATCCACAAGAGCAAGCAACATATCAACAGCACATCATGACAAACATCTCAATTAAATAATCCAGCTTCTGTCCTTCAAAATTTCATGGTGACAAAACATAACAGCCACTTAAGAGGACACAGAATGAGCACTTTCACAAAGTGCAGATATGTAAATTTTCAAGCATGAGGCATAAGTGGAGAGTGCAGTTTCATGGAGCAAAAGAAGAGATTAAAGTGAATTTCAACATACTTTAATATAAAAAAGGTTCCACATGTATACATACGCATAATGGGAGTAAAACAAGTCATTGTCAGCCTTGATTTAAACTGTCACCTTTTTATGTACAAGTTTTCAAAACTGTGAACATAGTCATTTTGGAGGAGTTGTTATATGCAGTAGTTTTAGAATAAGCTTTGGTGGTTGGTTCAAGGGATTGAACATCATCAGTTGTTTTGAAGATTCTTCGATCGTGAGGAATTGTTCAACTGCATTAGTTATGAAATGATCCCATAAAGTCAAGAGAGTAGGCATTGACGTGTAATATTTAAAATAACGTATTAGGTATTTGTGATTCCATAGTATATGCTAAAAGATGGCTTACTTCATCAGAATATGAGATTCTTTATGTATTTGAGATTCTTTTGCTTAATCAGAATCTGCTGTATAATGTTTGGAGCTCAGGAAGTGCTCTTGCAGAAGACAACGAAATTTTCCCACTAATACAACAGAAACTATTAGTCTCAAGATAGAACCTTTTTGCACCACAAAAGTAATTGTTCACATGTAAAACTGTTCCTTGGTCTTCCATTGTAATGGAGCAATAAATTGTTCACATGTAAAACTGTTCTTTGGTCTTCCATTGTAATCACCTGTGGAGAAAATATATTGAGCCCAATATATTTATATAATTACATTGAACTCCCTAAAATTTTAATTTACAAAACATTAGTTTTCTTTTTCATTAATATTGTTGGTCGTATAAATAAAAAAATAATATTGTTACAATTTTTACATTGAAATATATGTTTAATTTGTTTATTTTCATATTGGCACACCATCTGCATTAGCAGTTCTTTTTGGCATGCCTGTTTGGGCTAATTTAGCCATATAGGATAAAATTAGCTATTTTAGCCAAATAGAACAAAATGTCACTCCCAAACTATAATCATTTTATTTTTTCTCTTACAAAAGTCAAAAAATGCCAAAAAGCTTAGTTCAAACGAGACTTTTTAGTCCTAGGTTAAAATAGTCAAAAAGCCAAAAAGCCAACTTACATCTCAAACGAAGGCTCAGAAATCTCCTTAAAAGGGGACCAAATTATATAGAATTAAAAATTGACTATAAAATTTAATTTATTATATATATATTTTTTTCAAAATTGAGTACATATATTGCACTAAAATATTCACCTTACAGACAAAACAAATTCAACATTATCATTAAATTAGCAAATAAAATTTTCAATCTGAATAGAGAAATTTACAAAACATAAAGTATAAAAATTAGATTACAAAGTACTTTTTACCCTAGTACAAAATCAAAAGATGAAAAAAATGATAACATACCAATATTTTTTTTTATGCATGTATCACTTGTAGGGTTTATAACTGATTACCTAAGCGAGACAACTAATCATATGTAAAGTCGACAAAAGAAAAGACTTTATTGATAATAAACACATTCAAAATATGAAAAATTACATCAATAAAGAGGAGCTTGAAGCTGAAAAAGCTCTAACCTCCTAGTTGATGGGAGACTAACGAAGAAAAACAAAAACCAGAGGGAAACAAAAAGAATGAAACTTAAAAGCCCGTCCTCACAATAATGCATATCAGAACTAATCATTAGTAAAGTCAGATATAATCAACATCGTAATGAATGCTTATTTCGGGAGGTTGTCCCAAGTGTGGATGTGATAATGGATCTAATTAAGTTAAAAATGGTTGTGTGGTTTTAGGAAGTATTTAAGGAACATATGCTTTCAGTTGATGATTTCCTATTTTATTTAGAGCGTATCAGATTCAGTTTGGGAGGTGGCAAGAGTGAGTGCAGTTATAAGGAGGCCTATTCTTCGTAGCAGTCTTTCTGCTTCTGCTGGTTGTAATTTGGGGTGTTTTGGAGGTATGCTGCTAGGCTGCTCTTGTGTGGTTTGATGTTGATGCTAGGCTGCAGTGCTTTGTCTGAATTTTTGCAGTATGTGCCTGCAATATGTTTTCTGCAGTGCTGAAGATAGGCATTTGTTCTGCAGTTAGACTGTGTTTGTTTTTTTTGTTCTGTAGCTTAGTTCTTAGTTCTAGTGTAGGTTGGTTTGAAGACTGTTGCTTTGAGCTCCAATTAGTCTAAAGGCACTGTAGATGTTGACTTCAGCTATAACAACCAACTGTTGCATATAGATCTGTAGATCAATTCCTCTGCTGTTTGGGTGCTTCTTAGAGTATTTTGTTGATAGCCTTGTCTGCTGATTCATCTCAGTGTAGTTCTGCGGTGCTATCAGTAGGGTGATGTTCAGTTGCATCTTTGATGGTCTGTTGAAAGCCTTTTGTGGCTTCCTATCTGCTTCTGGGATTCTTTTTGGTTGAGCTCAATTTCAGTTTTTGGTTGCTTCATTGGCTGATTCATTGGTTTGGCTTTTTTATTTGGCTGCTTCTGTGTGTTTTGCTGATATGTTGTGCTGAAGTGAATTTCTGCAGTTTTTGCTCTCAACTTTAGTGCTGGTTTGGATTGGTGTTGTTCAGTTTTTGGTGCTGAGTGGTGTGTAACCTATAGGAAATATGTGTTGCGGAGGGCAGAGGTGTAGTTATATGGAACCAGGGTGTAGTCTGGGGACTTGGACGTCATCGTTTGAACACTCGATGATCATCCATATTCATGTTCCTTTTGAGTTCTCGAAGGTCTCGGCCGCGCGCCTTGCCTCAGGATCTCTTAACTTGCCTGTTCTGTGCTCGGTTGTGGACCAAGAACTTGTTTGTTTTGCTTCTGAGGGCAGAGAATGGCTTGTTGGTCATCCACACACCTCACCGGCTTGGGCTTGAGGCCATCGGCCCTGTTTTGCTGCTACCATCCATTGGCGAGGCTGGTTGGCATTGTTTTGGTCGGCCGGCCATTTGTTTGGTCAATCGGCCATATTTTCTGGCCAGGACTTCTTTTTTGCCTTTTTCAGGCATTTTGCATGCCAGTTGTGCCAGCTGGAGCACACATACCTGTCCTCCATACACGTGTATGGAGGGTTTGCACCCTTTGCACCCTTTGCACCCTTTTGCTCTAGCTTCTTGAGGAAGTTTGAACCCTTTGCCTTAGCTTCCCCAAGAAGCTTGAACCTTTGTTCTAGCTTCTTGAGGAAGCTTGACCCCTTTGTCTTAGCTTCTCCAAGAAGCTTAGGCCCTTTTTGTTCTATAAAAGAGGGCCTCCCTTCTCCTTTAGAGAAGTTGAGCAAAAAATCAGAGATATATATCACACATACCACTCTCTCTCTATATCTCCCCCTCTCTCTAGATTGTGTGTGTTTTAGTGTTCAAAAGTGTGTTTTTGTTCCTATTTTTGCACTAAGGCACCTAGTGTTACACCATACTTCGGTTATTGAGGTGTTGAGGGACCGGTCTCAGAGTTTTTAGGTTGGTTTTGATCAGAGGAAGGGGCTGGGGTTGATGTTCTTGAAATGTTCTTCAAGGGTGAGCACTATTGCTTTATATTCTCCATTTTTGTACAAGATTTTAACCTATCTTGCATGCTATTTTGAGCTTTGTGTATAACTGATAAAAGTTCTAATTTTTGATGTTTGAGATGTTTCATTAAGGTCTCTTTTGTGTTTGGGGTTGTCCACCTCCTCTTAGGCCTCGTTTGGCCCTTTTTTGTGCCTTTCTCTTTGAGCTTTGAGACCTCTTTATTTCGACCTTCTCACCACTGAAATCTGGAGGATTTTCAGTGGTGGAGAAGTGGTTTTGAGGTCATGTATAGGGGAGGGACACCCCTCTCCCTTTTGTCTCATTTGCTTGTATTATTGGCTTAATATGGTAGCATGTATGTTTAGTTGTTTCTAGCATCATTTCAGTAGGTATTCGGAGTTATTTTGTCATGTTATACCTCTGTTTTGAGTTGGTTTAGTGGTCCCTTACATGCATCATATACATGCCTTGTAATCCCATTGTTTGCTTTAAACATGTGTCTAGCATGTGGACTACCATGCTTACATATTTTGGCTTGGTTCCTTGAAGCTTTTAGCCTTGTTATGACATGATTAAGCTCTGATTTTGGTCCTTTTGGTCATGCTTGCATTGTTTTACATAGCTACCATGTAATCTAGCTTGTTGGCCTTTGGTGTGTGAGTCTTTGGCATGCTTTACTTGGACCATTTCAGTGATTTGGAATCACTTATCATGCTATTTTAGTCCATATTCCATGCTTGTATGCTCGCATTTACCATCCTCTCAATGCTTTGAAGAGTTGTTCTTGTGTGCCTTAAAAATGAGTCATTGTGCATGCCTCTTTGTTTAAGTCTTAAAACTGCCATATCAATGGGTTTCAGGGCTCCTTTTGGTATATTACAACTCTGTTTTCTGTTGAAAAGTCCATGCCATGCTTGGTTGTGATAGTTGTAATGGAGTGCTCTCTTTGTAGTCTTGAATGCCTTTGTTTTGGTGCTTATTTCTTAGCATGTTTTGGCCATGTTCCATACATGTTCTAGTCTTGTTTTGGTCTGCCCTAGGACTGATTTAAGTCATTTTGACTCTTTAAGGCTTGGTTGGTATGGCTATGGTTTGAACCCTTTGGTTGGTTTCAAGCCTTGGGCCCCTTTGCATGCTATGTTTCACTTGTGTGTTTGGATTTGGAATTCCTTTTAGCATGATTTCAGAGCTCAGCATGTTTGTAAAATGCCCATGTTTGTCTCTTTTAAGTATGCTTGGAATTGCCTCTTTTATGCCTTAAGCGATACACCTTGGTGCATGCATGCTTGCATGTGTGATTCGTGCTTTTGTTACGTCACTATTGGGCACTGTTTTGGGGCATGGCTGAGGCCTTCCATTTCGGTTTAAGTCCACCCTTGTACACGGTTGCATGTTTGGCATGTTGCATCTTGTTACATCATTTGCATGCTTGCATTATATCATGTTTGCATGTTCTTGTTACATTAGCTTAGCTTGCATGATAGGTTGCATTGCATTATATCTTGCATGCTTAGCACATTTTACATTTGCATGTTTAAGTTGCATCGCATTTGGCATCCTTTGCTGAGTTAGCCCCATATTGCATACTTGAACCATTTTGCATATTTGAGCCATATTGCATACATGCATTGCATTGTGTTTGGTTTGGGATGTCAAGCCAAACATGAGGTATGAGGTGTGTTCGTACTTAAAGTGACGAAATATGCCTCAATCCTCGGTTGCCGGCACTCTTGATCCCAACATGATAAAGTGTGTAGCATTCATTTGTTTTCGTTGCATTCATTTTACATTGATTTGCAAACTTGGCACCTTTGGCCATCATGCATCGAAATGCGTGATTGGTGGCCCGAGGACCGAGAGCCATGCTCCCTTGAGTTCATTGCATGATAGGGAGAGTGGTTATGCACACATGGCCTTGAAAATACCTTCCCATGCACTGTCTGTCCTCTGTTGCAGCAAAACCAGTATTTTGCAGGAAGAAATGGCCGGTCGGCAATCTTCAGTGCCGGCCAACCACAAAGGTCGAACCGGTGGACCAACTTCTGGTCGGTTACCATATTTCCATAGTCTGTGGTCATATATCTTTGCCGGTGATATCCCATAATGATCAGGGAGCAATTCAGAACCATCCCAAGAATTTTCACAATTATCAGAGGTGCAGAACAGTGCAAACAGAGGCAACATGTGGCATGGCAACGGGTTTCCGAGCGAGGCGAATTGAGCATACATGCATTTGACCCTCTTCCCGAGGCAGCATTACTACTTTAATAGCTTAATTAATTTGTTAATTAATTAAGGTTTTGTAATATTTAATTAGCTAGAGTAGTTGATTATTTATTTGGTTTGTATTATTCTTTTGGCCCCTTCGAGAGAGGGCGAATTTTGTAATAAGCGTGCGTGTGTGTGATGCATGTCTTCCAACCCCACGTCTTTCTTCCTTTTACTTACCTGCTTTCAGTGGTTAGTTCTAGGGCACGTTTCAATTAGCATCCTTATGCTATGCATGTTTGCATCATTCATCTGTATTGCATGCATCAGGCTCGGTGCATCATACTGACTGCATTGAATTTCGATTCCAACTTGAATACGTGTATTGGATTGTCGCACCTCATATGCCATTCTTAGGATAGCCGAGCCTATCTTAGTTGCATTTTGCATGCGTTGCATTAGCCATCGTAACATGAACTAGGATCATGCATAATTACTAACTAGTTTCTTGTTTTGGCTCGGAGTACACTGTAAGTGTTTATGCTTTAGCATCTCGCATGAGTGTGAATGTTAACATGACAGCATGCTTTCCATAAGGCTAATTGCTTAGGTGATGTAACTGTTTGAATGCCTGTGGGTGAAGGTTGGATTGCTTGAATTGGGATAATTCATTGAAATCCATGTTTTAGCCTACTTACGAGTAGCAAACTTCAAATCATTTTCCAAATAAACGGATATGCGATGCTTTGTTCCAAATTAGGCGATCCATCTATACTTGCATGCTGTGCGCATCACATAGTAA